AAACTGGTCCACGCTCACACGACGACGAGGACAGAAAGGTGAAAGGTCGAGGGCCTCGTCGTCGTCCGGTGGTTGCGAGCGAGACACCGCGGATTATCAAGGAAGACGGGGGAAGGGCGAGGTCCACGTGAATAAATCCGAATCCATCGTGACGATCGACGAAACGGGAGTCTCCGAGAGCCTTGCGCGGATGGCCGATGCAGGAAGTAATCGATCATTTCTCTCGCGGGCGCTAATTGCGTGTTTAATGGCCGTCTCTACCAACGATGATTAAATCTTAATTTGAGTCCAAGTTCGACTCGAACTCAGGTTATGAGGTTCAGTCACACACACATACATAGAAAATCATGTCATTCTGCTGCGAGGAAAAGCGATTACTCAATTTGCTTAGTTCCGCTTAAGTAACGGTTATCTTTAATAAAGAGGTATTTTCTTAATTAAAATTTTGAAATACACTCATCACGAATTTGAAAAAATCTCTCTCATTATCATATATGCACCTAATAGAAAAAATTTATTTCCCTCGCAAGAATATCATAAAACTGCCGAAGAAAAGAAGTTGGCTTAACTCAGCGTAGAAGAATGAATTGAATTTTTGTTGCAGCTCAATATTCTCAACTGAAATGCTAAGAATTCTGACTATATTCAGAACAAATATTGATGCTTATGATAAAATTACGATAGATTAGATATACAAACTTATAAAATACTCGAAGCAAACAACATTCACTCGAATGTATTTTTCTGTGTGTAGAAACGTGCGTAGGAAAGTATAACGTATCTCACACATATATAGTTGGACATGGCAAGGAGGAAACCGTCGCTTTCTGACGTATATAATTAAATGTCCTCTAATATATGTTTGGTGCACCGTTAGGTGTCCTCTTCACGGCGCGGAATATAATCGCAAGAGGAAGCTACCCACTCGTGCAAAATTGATATCCAACGGTTACTTGATAATTCCGGCGCGCGAGAGAGCAACATTACGATCGATCTTCGAGTCGCGCGACTCGTAATTTATCGCAGACAATTCGTCTGCAATAACTTGCCGGCGAGGCTCGATAGCGCGACGCTATGCTGCATCGTCGTCGTCGTCGTCGTCGTGGTAGCCTCTCGGAGCTGCCGCGAATGCAAAAACGGATACTCGCTGCCGACGGCGTTATTATCCGCGCTTGGCTTTCTCGGCGAGCTTGATTAACACGTCAAGGCGTTATGGATACCGCCGTCACGATCTCGCTCTTTTTCGTCTCGCCAGGTGTCATATAAACGCCGCGCGACACCCGTTCGGATTTGCGGAATTTCTAACGGCCGCCGCCGCGTGTTTACTCCTTAACGGCCACAAAGTATAGTAATAACGCGCGAGAGCTGCGTAAGGCGGGATACCCGTTGCGCGATACCCGCGGCGTGCACCGCGAGTACGCGGACGCTCACGTGTTAAGGCTCGTATACAATACGCGGAGCGAGCTTGGTGTGCGTTGGAATAAGAAGTAAAAGTGACCTATCTCGCTTACGTCTACACTCCAGCTCCCTCACACCGGAAGTGTCTCTCTTACTGAAGAGAAACACTTTAAAGGAGTATAGGAGGGCGCGCGAGATGAGTTACATTTATTTCCTACTTCAACTTACACCGAGTTCACTCCGCGCATTGTAGACGAGTCCTTAGGCGCGTTGCATGGAACATTACGCGCATACATTAAAGCGCGCATCGATGCGTTTTCGCGGAGAATTTCGCGGAAACCCGCTGACCGATCGACGATCGATCAACCGACCGCAAGGTATTCGAGACGCACGCGCGCACGAAAATTTCGCGTAATACTTGGCAAGATCCTGTAAGAGAGGCACCGTGTGTGATAACTCTCAGTGAACATCCTCAAACACGAAGACTACAGGCGTGTTCCCACGTAGGTACAGTTAACACGTCGAATGTCACGGTGGCCACAACCGGTGACGGTCGGCACTATGATACCACCTCATTAAGCCACGTATAAGGTATAATTAATTGTATCTAAAAATTGGGCTTTACGGCCAATAAAAAGCCGACGGAACGAGGTAAAGGACTCACGCGCGTCTCGAATCACATTTATTCGCGGTATCGTTAGTAATTCAATTATCAGTCCGCCTTTATATGCGGCCGTATATACGACCAATGTTAATTACAACGTGACGGTCAACGTGTTAATCATCGGCACGAATGGATCGGACTCGCCGATAGAAAGTGAACGCGGATCGGTGGCCGAAGGGTTCAATCTTTCTTCTCTAGCTCTGAACTCTCGTGACAAGTGAAAAAACTAATCTTGAAAATATATGGTTCGTTTTTCACGAGTTTAAATTGGAGGAGAAGATTCACGTCTAGTTCACTGTCAAATCACTTTTCACGAATTTCATACTACGGAAGAAAATTACATGACTGACAGGTGAGTCTGCGCGAAAAAATTCACGACTAATGCCCAGGTCGGAAACAAGAGTCACAGAGGGATGAACATTAGCGCGGACGACATGAATCTATTTGCAACTAGATACCCGGTGCACATCTCGGGGAGCATCGTCGTACCGGCGATCGGAGCGGAATTCCCCTCCGCGTTCAACGAGCGTCTCGTGTTGCTTTACGTTAACAACGAAACATGTCTCTGGGCGTCGAAGCGTACGCGTTACAGTCTGATGAAAATAATGCGCTCATTCTTTTCTCTCTCTCTCTTCCTCGCACGTTTTACCCCTTTCCCCCCACCTACCTAGCCCTACTCTTTCTCTTCTTTGCGCGCTGCGTGTACTTCTTTTAGTTTTACTAAGTGGCCATATGGGGACATTCGACATAATGGGGTGGGAGCGGCTCGAGCGAAAAAGCTCGGCTTACAATCGCCTCGACGAGATCTAAAAGAGCCGCAGGGGAGCCAGAACTGGTACGAGAAGGTCCATTATCAGGTTGCAAAACATACATCTGGCCGGTGAGGGCACGTGCCCGGGGCCTTCGGACGAAGGGCACGCCCCCTAAGACCCCCCGGTCCCCTGGTCGCTCGTCCGTCCATCCGCGCGCCGTCGTCGCGCTCTCCGGCCCTTCTAACCCCACGACGACTTCGAGCCTTCGCGCCCTCGTGCACTCGATCTATGCGATCGCTCGCACTCGAGAACGAGGTGTTAATGCGCCTCGCCATGAACACCGCGGATGTCGTCTAGCCTAGCACGATCTCGAATGATGACGGAACAATATCTATATGTTCAGCAGACGTGTGATCATTTGTTGCACGTATCATCGATTTTATATTGCGCGATTCGTTGTGCAAGGGGTGTGTAGAAAGAGAACTCGTCAAACTGGACACAAAATTCCGCTGCCATTTCGCAAACTAACACAGACATTTCGCAAATTAAATCGATCTTAACAAGATCATATAAATGAAAGTGTGGCTTTACTAAACACCTACCAAGACAAATAAATACCATAAATATATTGTTGAATGTTCATTAATGGAACAGATTGTAATATAAAAAGGGGACCAGAAAATTTTCGCAAACAATCATACATTTCGCAACAATTGTAAAATTTCGAATTATTAAACGAAGAAGATTAGGAAATTATCAGTTATTGCGGACAATCATACACCTATCTTCTTTAATTAATAGCTAAATATCTACGTGGTAATTTACAAAAGAGTAGAGGACTTTTTTGTTCTGTTTGATATAATGTACAAAACAGACGATGGCAGACGTTGCCATCACGATTTATCTGCCGTATTGCGCGTGATCACTCACTAATATTCTTTCATTAATAATTCAAAATTTTATGTAGTTGTTTGTGAAATGATAGAAGAAGATTTGTGTTCAGTTTAATGAGTTTTACCTGATGAGTGCAACGTAGCTGCATAACAAATTGTCAGACATTTTGTATATTCGCGTTACAGCTAAGGGTTTGTTAAATAAATTTACACAGTGAATCGCCGTACTCGTTCGGAATAATTTGTGTGAATTATGTAATATTTTTCCTTCGTTATTTCATTGGTAACTGATTTCACTTAGAATTGATATTTGTTTGGTCTAATTTTTAAACAATTCATATAATTCTCTTTTCCTTTTTCTCTCTCGCACGCACGCACATTTCGTTTAATGACATATCTTATTCAAGTTCATAAGTTCGACAAGCAAATTTTTCAAATTTGTGTTTAACCGTATACTGATGGCAGTATTTAATTAAAAGATAAAGAGAGAAACGAAGAAACGTTATGAGAAATATAATCCACTCGGAGCGACATGCTTTTCGGCCAGATAAGAGACCAATGATGTCGTTTTTAAATTGGCTCTACACCCGTCGAGAATCCGCGGCTTATCTCGAAGGTGTCGTTCGCGCTCGGCGATTATCGCGATGACGCATTGCGATGACGAGAGATGACGGCCATATTACTTAATCTACCAAGTGTTGCGAGACGTATCGAGCTCGTGTTGGCTCAAGCAAATTGACAGATTTGTCACTCGCGATATATTAACGGCTATAATCGACCCTCCCTCTTTCTTTTTTTTCTCTATCTCTTCTGCTCGTTCCATCTCTTTCTCTCTCTCTCTCTCTCTCGTTTTCCCTGCTGAAACTCGTCTCCACTAAATCTATCCGGTTATCCGGGCATACCGGTTATCGGAGGAGATTACGAGACAATAGTCGACCTTTTGAGCGTAGAACAAATATTTTATGGTCGTTTGTAATTTTTATCATCAAATCTTAGATACGAGGATAACCGAAAAGAGCCCCTGTTTTTCCAATTTGTGTTTCGAACAAGAAAATCAACCCCTCAGTCACACAATTTCCGACTTTTTTCTTATGATAGCGACCTCTCTCGTAGCCATTCCCCCATTTTAACGAACATACAAGTTTCTTTACGCAGATAACATTAAGGTAGAATTCGCTTGTCGAATTTAATTCGATATTGATCGACTCATAATACGTGAGTAAATTGCAGAGACCGTCATCATTATTGCTCGCCGAATGGCGATCCTCCAATTCGGCCGATTAGCACACTTACCCCTATCAACGATCTTGCCAAAGAGATTCTTCCCTCTGAGGAAATTCTTCGTCGAGCAATTCCATCGTCGATTGCGAAACTGGTGTTGACACTCGACGATGGCTTGATTCGCGCCCCTAGCCACTGCCAACAGCACCCCTGGATTTTCTCTAGCTAGGCGCCTCTGTTTTCTCCTGAGAGTCCCGTAAAGCGAAGGCTCCAAGTGTAAGGCGGCCGATGACATTGGCAAAAAATTGTTGGGCTCGCCGGCTTTAGCTATGCCCCTGAAAGCGAAAGAATGTTGTCGTCTTGCATTATGCGTCGGCAATAAAACTTGCGGTAAAGGGATTAACAGTGCACCTCTAAAAGGATTATAGGTCTACGTAATATAGCGAACAGCCCACAATAAAACGGACACCTGTGGAGGACAAAAGGAGAATTGGATAAACAGACAAGGAATGTTTGCAAAGGATAAATTATAGATTTTTTTGTTCTGTCACTAAGAGAATTCTCCCTTGACAAAATATACCTGTAAGGACAGATTAAGATTCTCTTAATAGAATCAAGACAAGGATGATTTTAGCTTACAGGTACATAAGCCTGTATTCCATTTGGGACGACTCCGGAGGTCGACTCCAGGACGGGATACTCGCAATAGATAAGGCAACAAAATAGGCTCGAAAACGTCGACCGACGTTCAAGAGGATAGTCCTCGACGAGTTTTCGCGATAGTCGATCGCGCCAGACGCGTCAGCGCGTTTAAGGACATGTTTTCAAACAGGGATCGTGTTAATGAAGAGCCTCCGAGTAAAATTAGTCCCGCGATCTTGGCGCGGCGCTGCTCGCAGTGCATGCACGCCGTCCGAGGGTAGGTAATCCCGATCGTATATCCTCGACACGGGCGTTAAAGCGCACATAGTATGCGCGCTTTCGCGAAATTATCAATTATAAAATATGCAGCCACGTTCGTTCGGCTCGGCGGTCAAGCTAGCCCCGGCTGCGGTCGAGCTTTAATGCAACGCGATCGCCAGTAAATTCCCTTAATGAGCTCCTCTGTGTGCCGGTTTCGGCGAGCGCGGCGAGCGCGTCGTTATCGTGCGTGTCGCGTATTACATGGCCGTCGTAACACAACACGCATCGGGGCCGATATATCGCGCGAATAAATTTTAATTACGCGGCAATTCTATCTTACGATATAATGCGCCGCGTCATCCGCCGCGATTGCGTTTGTCCCATCCGCGCGAGGCACAGCGCGCGACAGGTGATCGATCCGCGGGGAAGTCATTTCCAATTTATTAAGTGGAGCTTCATTTCATACTTGGTGCGAGCTGCGCTCGTTCTCTGCGATTTTTTCTGATCGATCCGCGATTTTCTCTTATGTTTCTCGGACCTCTTTCCTGTATATTTCGGAGCAGGAGAATCGTCACACTGCTTACGAAAATGATGCCTTCGAATTAGATTCAAGATCAAATTACGGAATTTCGCAGAATCTGCTCGGCCTCAAATGCGTTGTATGCTAACCCGTGGGTGCTTGAGCGTGCGATTTAAACGACGCTCGTCACCGCGAAACGCCGATTTCGCGCGCAAAAAGGCGCGCTTTCGAGAGGGAGCAGGGGAGCGCGAGAGCGAGAGAACGAGGAGCGACGAAGGTGGATTAGCACGAAAGACGAAACTGGTTCAGCAGTTTCGATCAACGGTAGCTCGTCGTGTGTATATATTGTGTATATAGGGTGTCCGCGCGTGCTCGTTATAGATTCTTCAATAGGCAATTTCTGTGGAAACCGATTGAACTGATCGTTTACCGTGACCTTAAATTTGCAGCTTTGAGTATTTTATTAAAATCTCAATCTAAATTTTCTAGCGGCAAGGACCACTTAGAATAAAATAAAATGCAAGACTTTATCATCTGCTTTCGATTACTTTCGATTAGGAAATTATGAATGTTACTCGCACCAAGATTCTTGGATCAGTTGCTTGAAGCTTGTTGTATCTGTGATTTGGAGGAAGAGTTCTCGACTTCCGATACACCCTGTATGTATATAAATCAAGCTGCCGCGCGTGAGTCCGGCCTGCGAAAGAATTCGCGTCCCGATCGATCGAGCATCGCGCAGAAAAACGTTTAAATGCGCTCACGGTGTGCCCTTCGTGGGAAGAAGGATGCGCGGTCCTCGAAGAAACGCAGGACCGCGCAAAATGCATACTGATCAAGGGCAGTAAGAAACGCGTCGTAACCCGCTCGAATCTCCGACAGAAAAGTCGCGGGACTATTCGCGATTCACGTCTAAGGATGATTCTAAGCGAACGCAGGTGCATTATTCGCGTTTTTTTATATTATTTCTCATATATACATTTCTGGAATTTTAATGTCTCGATTCAAACTCTATATTCTCGTCCAACGAAAGCGCGGAAGTGATTGTTAACGCGCAACACATTTTACGTCACGCAATCCTTCGTCATCTTCAAACGAACGGCAGAGCTGCAATTCTAGAAAATAAAACGACATCAGCAGCGACTTTGAAACGCGACGCAAGCACGTAACGCCGTAAAACGTCGATACGACATGAGAAAGAGAGGAAGAATAGAGAGGAGGGAGGGAGGGAGGGAGAGAGGGAGGGAGGGGGAGAGAGAGAGAGAGAGAGATGGGGAACCGCGAAAGAGGAACTTGCCGGAGCCCAAACAGGGTCGTAAACGTCCGCGGCCGATTTGCTCCGCGTGAAAAAGCGTCGAACGCGCTGGATATTTATTCTTCTTTAACGAGAGAGAGGGATCGCGGCGCACGCTCGCGCGACCCTTATTTAAAATAGCTCGCGCGCGCTGGGATCGGATCAGTCGTCGCCCAGCATAATAAACAGGTAATCAGTGTCGCCGCGACTCCGTCGACGCTCCGCGGTCCCGGGCGCAGATCGAGGAGAGCTCTGACAGAAACCGGGCCGCGGGGCGGCCACAAACGCGAAATCGCTGTCAGCCGACCGCCACCGAGATCTCTCGTTGACACTCTGAGCGGGCTAAACAAACTCGCGCGAGCAGCACGAGGTGGCGGACACACGTGGCTCGGTAAAAGGAGACGGAAGATTGTTCCCTGATACTGGCTTTGTTGGATTATCGTGTCAGGAACGCGGCGATTACTCTCGATCCACAATAGATGTAGTAAGCTTTCAACCGTTCTAAGAACTCTAAGCCCGAAACTGTCATGTAATTTTTAGCTAAAAGCGCTTCCTATTGTTGCCTAAAATCGTAATCCCTAAACTTTAAACAGTCAATTTGTTCGATTCCAGCTCACTCAAAAAAGGTTTTGCTAATTCTAGGTAGAATTCTAGATGTCATAGTTAAAATTTATTGTTTCTTTTTTTATATTTACTAGAAAATTATCTGTGATATGTAGGATTTACAGTAGCAGGATTTCAAAAATATCTGTTCGCAAAATTAGATGTAAAAATTATACATTCGTTGTTAGTCTTCTTTGTCTACCAATAATTTTTATGAAAATTCGTCTTAATCTGAATGGACGTCACAGGGAGGCTTTCTTGCTAAATTTCGCAAATAATCCAGACAGAAAATGTGTCTCTGTCATTGGCATTAATTAAATATACAACGCATGCGATATCACAATGTTTGCTAATCATTTGTCCATCTCAGCTAATATCTTATGTCTTAATTTTCGTTGTGACTGCAAGATCATTTTTTTGAGCGTAAGGTAGCGTGAGAAACGCTTTTTGCCAAAAATTATAACCTTTAGAACAAAATGTTACAACTTTACTACATCTGTTGTAGATTGGAACTTAATCCTTGCTAGAAAGTGATGAAACGAGGAAGGGATGACGATTCGTTTGATGCGAATCAATTTGCGTATCCGCGAGCAAAATTCAGAGAAAACAACGGCACACACGAGGAATCCAACAGCACCGATGAGAAGTAGCGAACTACGTATGTGTGTGTGTGTATGAAGAATACGAACACAGGCGCTACGATTCGTCACAGGCGAGTTCTCCGCGAGCTCGCACGCGGCCGATGCGACGTGTAATGCCGGCGTTGCGTGTGGAGTCGCCGGTGCGTACACGATGCACCCGCGCATTCAATAAGCAATGGCCATAAATAAGCCGCGGACCGGTTAGGATATATCTATTGCTTGCAATTTATGTCGGACTGGAAACCTCACGGACACGACTCCTCTGTCTCCTTCACCCTCGCGCACCCTTTACCGCCAGACGACGGCCGAGACGAAAATAATTTATAGCGCTGGGGCGAGGGTGGAGGAAGAAAAAAGGAGGACGATCCTTTCGACGTTCTCGCAGCAGTAAAAAGGTAATTTAAATTATTATTCACTCACGTTGTTATATCATTGAATTGTCGCGATTATTCCAATTCGTTGACGTCGCTTCTTGCCTTTCTTTGGAATTGCGCAAGGATCCATACCGGAAGAGAATTCGCGCGACTGTTGACTTCATAGAGCGAATAAGCGGTCGACACTGTTTATCAAATCTCACGGCTGCTATTGACTGATGTTTATGGGGATAGATTGATTCACGTTTCAGCCCGAATGCCCATGAATCCTTCGTTGCTCTCCAATTGCCGATTGTCGAGAATCGGCCGATCGAATGATCTCGTCACACGACAAGGCTGTCGCTTGTTTTGTATCTCGATACCGAGATGTAATTGATGAGGTCATTATTTATCCTAGAAGAGCTCGCGCTATGATTTCAGCGTCGATAACTTTACCCTCCGCGCGTGTTACTCTTAGATTCGACGACGACGAGCGAATGTTGCGTGTAACGAATTTAAGAATCAAATCGATCAAATCGAAAGTCTGACAAATATTTAGAGTGCGATAATATAAGTAAAAATTCATTATAAAATTACGGACGATTTTCCACACGAGGCATGCCGGGAAAAGCAGGCATCTTTGATTAAAATCTGTAGACTTGACATCTGTAGAAATTGGAGTTGATTATAAAAGTGGATTAGGTAAAAGTATCAATGCTCAGACACATATCTAATCCTGAACATTTTTGTTGTTTTGGTCTTTAAATACGAATAGTTAAACTCTTAACATAATATATATGTATTTTTTATATTAAAAATTTTTAAATATTCGTACACTGAAGAAACGTTGGATTAACCAAATTTCTGATGGAATATAAACGAATCAGAAAATTTCGGTCAATGTTATCAGAATACTGTTCAAGTCGACCAGAAATCTCGTTAACTCTTGAACAGAATTATAAATACCAATTGAAAGGAACTTCAACCTAGGTCGTTCCTCAAATATTTGATTAATTCAAACGTTCTGTGATTAAAGACCAAAACAATGAGAATGTCAAGGATTAAGTACGTGTCTGGAATTGGCGTTTTTATCTTAATTGTAAGTCGGTTTGTTGAGTTTTTTTATTGACGCACACGATGCGAATTCGCCTTGTATTCCCTTTTAGCCCGCACCAATGTCCGCGTTTCCAAGCGTGCAGCAACAACAACGTTCAGGTCCGAGCCGCGAAGCGATCCCGACGTACGTCATTTCTAACATGAGTCCGTCCATATCCAGAACGACAGCGTCGTGAATCAGGTCGTGATGCCATGAATCAGACGGAGATGTCGCAGCGTCGGTCGAGCCCGTCGACGTCTTTTTCATTCGGTCGACCGACTTCTCGTCTTTCTCGTAGGAGAGCACGCTTGTCACGACGGCTGTACACCTCGCTCCTGATTCTCGTTCCCGAGAGTCGTTCAACGTCGATGAATCGGTCCCGAGACTACCGGTTCGCGACGAAAACAACAGACACGAGATCGTAACGAACGTTGTGGGATATCACGATCGCGACGGACACGCGGAGCGACGTTTGTTCGAAGCTCGAAACATGAGTGATTAATCGCGAGGTTCTCAGGCGTTCCTCTCGCGAAGTGCAACGTGTCCTGCAGATATCCCGGAGCACATTACATGCTAAATATGCGATTGGCATCACGACCTCCAATATCGACATTTCGCGGAAAATACGTCGCTGGTTGATCACTCTCCGTTACACCGCGTTAGACTCATGTCTTGTTTACTTCTTACTTTTCTTAATATTGTAATGCAAATCTCTCTCCTTCTCTCATTGCTTACTCTGCGGCATGACGGCAAAGTAATGGCGTCCGATAAAATCGCACGGATATCATTTTATAAGGCAAAGTGCGAGCGTGCGCCTTCGCGCGAAGACGGAAAAACGCGCGAGGCTTAATTAACGATCGCGCGTTCGCGCGGCACAAGTAATAATTCGCCGTGCTCGTGCGCCTCCTTAAAAATCCGAGAAGTCCTCGTGCGAGCCCGCGCGCTTTATGTCGCCGCGAGGTGTAATTATTGCTCTCGCCGGCAATTAATCGTCACCATTAGCGCCAGATGTGGCCACCCACGGCGCTCGATAACGCACGTCGAGACCGTCGCCACGTCGGTCCTCGAGAGTTCGAGTGCGCTCGCCAGTCTATCGATCGTCGCGATTGTACTTGTCGACCGATCGATCGATTCCGTCGATCCCCGGCAAATCTGATGCGGATAACAGCTAGCACGACTCTCCCCGCGCTTTTCTGCGACCGACTCGTCTGCCCCTCGCATTCCGATCACAGCTGTTCGGACACATTTATTTTTATATTATTATACATGCATTGGGAAAAAAGTGTTTGCTACTTGCAACTATAATCGCATATAGAATTACTACAAATTATGACCTAGAAAAAATTTTTTATTAAATTCTACTAATATTAGTGATAATAACCTCAAATGCATGTTCTTACTACCATTTTTTTGCTACGACAACCAAAAGATACAGGCAGAAAATAATTTTAGTTGACTCAACAATTTTTTTTCTATCAGTGTAAAGAGAATTTCACATAGCAAAAATTATTATAAAATTTTATAATCAAGGAACACATCGACATTTTGCAATAATTGGCTATCTTTTTATTTCATATGTGCTATTCATATTTTATGAAATGTTAAAAAAATTTGCTGTATTTCTCGAAAGTTACTATGTTATTTAGTGAAATAGATCTTATTGACAGTCTATTCCTACATTAGTAAGACTAAAAAAAATTATTAAAAAAAACTATGATATTCTCTTCGTGTTAAAATAAAGAATAAGAATATTATCATAGAGTTATCTTTTTTTTACTTACATTAAAACAATTTTGAGGAATTTTTCTGCGAAGGAATTCTACGTTTTTTTTTTTTACGGTTCAGAGACTTTTTGTTTCCTCACTTTCCTTTAGTTCAAAGGAGATTTTTATTTGCATTTACCCAGACGGCACCAATGTCCGGTACGCCATTACGAGGATGCCGAAAGGCTATCTCAAAAGGGTTCTCGAGAATCTCGGAGAGTCTCTCTTGAACTGTTGTTTCGAGTGATTGCTCAGTGGTACCCGTGGATTTTTAGCGACGCGCCGCCGTGCTCTACTTCGGTCGTGTCACTCATCAACGATTCTACACACGCACTTAAGCGATAGATACATCCCCGCGCGACACACTATCGTGGACAAGATCGAGGACAATCGAGTCGATCTCCTTTTCCTCTCCACGATCGTGAAAATGCGAACCGCTTGAGCGGCCCGAGCTGACTCGGGAATTGTCGGGGCACGCGCGCGAATTGTCGTGTCGTGTCGCGATTCAATTAATTTAGCTGCAATAACAATCGCCGGGCGAAGCGTCGCTCGCGAGTCCTCGGGAAACCGGGCGAGCCAGGCTGATTTATCGCCGGCGGTTTATCGTTACGGCTGGATATTCGCCGTGAGAGACTTATCTGCCAGGATAGTATACGAGCGCGGGCGCTCGATCGCGCGTTATTTATCGTCGGTTTAATGAAGTTAGTCATTATCTAACACGCATCGCGCACGGGCGCGTGCTCATTCGCGAGAGAGCGTTCGCGAATCGGAACGAGTGGAGTTAGAATTATGATTAATGAATTAATAACGACACGCGCGGCGCGCGCGCTACCGCGATTAGCGCGATAAACGCCGGGGCGAGACAGGTGTTAATGCGTGCGAGGCGGGCTAATTAACGCGCGAAGGTCAACTCGATTCAGCGGTGGGTAACAGTTTAATTAGGGCCGAAACCGCGCCGAACGCGCGACGTCGAGACGAGAAGGAGGGAGAAGTGCCGCGAGACGTCCTCCTTCTCTCCTTCTCCTTCTTCTCCTCCTCTCTTCCTCCTTCTCGCGACACGTTCGCGAATATAGCGCGCGTTTATGTGAAACGTGAAAGCTCCTCGGAGAAACGTGTTACGTGGGAAACACGTGACGAGGAAAAGTGTCATTATAAGATGGAATGGAAAACGAGTGGCCGGGGAGGTGTAATTTCCATCGTTTCCCTTTTGCTCTTCAGGAAACTGTGGAAGTCATGAATACGCGATGAGCTCTGACGAAAACTTCCGCGGCGACGAAATTCAAGACACATCGTAGCCCACACGATACTTGTTCGTCCATGTTTGGTTCAAGCGTCGAATTTATTTTGAAAGAAGGTGTGACGATAAATACCTCACGATAAATGTCCACCCCCTCGTTTTTGTCACACACCTGCGTGAAGTAACTTGACAGCTATGTAAATCGCTCAGATCCCGAGGATGCGACCTGACATTTTTCTCTCTCGGGCAATTGAACAAAGAATTTTCGTGGATGTGCTTTCTTTGAGAATCACCGAGTACATGATTGATGAAGAACACGAAAAAACGTTCAAGCTCTTGGCTTTCACATCGATGTAAACTCGCCGCGGAACAGAGGCAGGCCCACGTGGAGTTGATGGGTGGGCCCTGCGGCGTGATTTTTACTCCCGATGATTCAGCGATCGCAATCGCGATCTTAATTAACGCTCGGTTCATTCAACGCTATGATGTCACTGGAAAAGAACTCCTCAGAATCGCTAATAGCGGGGAACGCGCGCGAAAATTTTTTGTTGTCGTCAGACAAATGTCTCGAGACTGCCAAAGGCTATTTCTAGGTACACATGACGCGCGCACTTTCGACGGAAGCGTAGTGATCACTGACAGTTACAAAAAAACAACCAGTTAATAAAAGGATTGTCTCCTCTAAAAAAAAGAGAGAAGGCGATAAACCAAGCTACTTGTTGCGTAGACACAGATACATATCTTCTTTTCGCGGAAAAGTCTATTTTATCTATTTCAATTTCATTTCATCTATTTCAAGAAATTTTCAAGAAATTATTTCAAGACGCGTAATGGACAAGAAACGTCAACTCTGCACGTCGCATCAAACGGATCACGGGAGAGTTCAAAATGTTCAAACAAGAAATACGTTTCTCTCAGAGTCTACCCCTCCTGCCTGCCGCGGTCCCCTGCGACCTCTTCCTTGCATTATGCAACTCTAGTCGATAACATTTTTTTCATCAACAAGTCTACCAAGACGCTCGGTGTAAGCATAATTTATTTCGAGAATCTCCGCGCGGTAATATCCGCGATGCAAAAAAGCTTTACGACGCGGCGTGTTTACAAGCATTTGCGATGGGGCGGATATCCGACTTCTCTCTCCTCGTCTCGTATTAAAAGCGAAACTCTCCCCGGGCGTCGTCGCCACGGTACTCACCACCACATGGATCCCCTGCCGCGATTCTTGTTCCTGGTGATCTCCGCCTGCGGCGCGTACACCGTCACCGAGAGCGCGGCGAATACGACCAAGAGCCTCATCTTCTGCGGCGTGTGTCTCGCGTGTCTCGATCCCGGTAGTGTCCTCCACCACCTCCACCACCACCACCACCACCACCACCTCCTCCTCCTCCTCCTCCGCTTAGATCCTTTCTCTCTCGTCCTTTATCCCCGATCGGGAGCACCGTGCGCACCAACTATCACTGACCGAACATCTCGCGCGGTACCCCGCGCCTGTCTTTTCTTTCTTTCTTTCCGTCTCTCCTTCTCTCTCTTTCTATCTGTATCCCTCGATGTCGTCGACGCGAACTCGATCCTTCGAATCGCACTCACGAGGTCGTGCGCATGACCCCGGCGCTAATCGCCCGATAAGATCGTCCTGGGATTAAGCGCGATCCTTCCGGGGTGCTTCGATAACGGTCACTGATCACCGCGGCGTCACCCCGTAGTCCACGGAGTTCGGCGGAGCGTGTCGGGAGCCGACAGACGTTATCGTGCGTGGAGAAAGAGAAATAGATAGAGAAAGAAAAAGAGAGGGAGAGGCGTATATCGTCCTTCAGCGGAACACTTGTGCACGCACTGTCCTGCAGATCCGGCTGTCTACTTCGTGAACGAGTGACGAGTGCAGCACGTCAAAGCACGACTTGTCGACGTATCGGCCGATCCGACAAGACAGGACTCCACGACGCTTAAGGCTTCCGTCGTCGACTGTGGCCGAGAAACTGATCCATCCCCGCCATGAAAACTCACCCCCCCAACAAACTACCCTCGAGGGGTGGGTGTCACCCTTTGAAGACTAGCGAGTCAGCAAGCGATTAATGGTGGGAAATAGACACAACCGTCCACACTCACAGAAGCTGGAGTTTAAGAGCGTTTTATACCTGCCAGCTACCTCTTCCAAGTGGACGTTATATTCCAGCTGTGTGGTCGTACGGTTTAAAACCGGGTAAGCCGAGGCACGCACACTCGGCAACGTCACCGAAGCTGCCAGGCTTTCTCGTCTGTAAGCTGTATCAAGGGTGGCTTGTACGCGCGCCACGCTCCGCACCTTCCGTTTCGTTCGTCCGTCGACCGTCCTTTCCAACTCTCTGCTTCCTCGACAGGGAGGTCCTCGATGGTGGACGTCTGCGGCGGCGGCGGTGGCGGCGGCGGCGGCGGCGGCAGCGACGACGACGGTGGCGCGCGCGCGTGCATGCGTGCCTGCCGCGGGCGTGCGTGCACGCGTGCTCGTGTCGGGGTACGACGACGTAAGGCAACGTAGGGGAGAGAAATTCTATCCACTCTTTTCTGTTTCTCGCCCTCTCTTTCTTCTGCTCGTTTCTTTCTTTCACTCGCGTTCTCTCTCTCTTTCTTTCCCTCTCCCCCTAACCGCCAGTCCCTCTCTCTCTCTCTCTCTCTCTCTCTCTTTTGATCTCTGGCAGTTTCTCTCTGTCTCTTTCGCTCTCTCCTCCGTTCGTACGTTGCGTTTCGCGCTGCCCTCACGCTGCTTGGGGGGTATGGTGCAACGAGCTGGAGAACCACCAATACCCTTCGACGGGCAAGTATAGGCCTCGGCTAGCGACTGCACGCGCTCCTCCGCGGAAGAGCCGATCTTTCTTCAGAGAGAGAACGGAACGTTCTCCCCTCCCCCCTGTCGCGGTGGGGACCAGTGGACCCCCCCAAGACCGATTAAATCTCGCCCCGCCTCTCACGGCTTGGCCCCAGCCTCTCTGCCCCTGCCCTTCCTCCACTGACGTGCGGTACCATCTCTTCAGCTCGCTTCCCTCCCGATGTTTTCCCGTCATCCGCTTCTTTCTCTTCCTCGCCGTCGTCATCGTCGCTCTCTTCCATCGCTCGGCGTTGGCGTTCGTTGATGATTCTCTCTCATTTCGGTTCTCCTTTCTCTACTTCCTCGTTCTCTTCTTCTTCCTTATCTTCACCATTTTCTTTTCTTACTTTGTTCTTTTCTTTTATTTATTTTTTGTAAAGTCTACACAGAAGGCGTCTTCAAGTCGAAGCAACTTCTCTCGACCGAATAACAGTTGTACGAGATTAATGAGAAGAAGAAATTGAAAGTGCCGAAGGGAAATTTATGCCTTTGAAGCAATATTAATTTGTCAGTACGAATTATTTTTGATGACAGGTGTTGACTGATCAACAGAGGGAGAAGGATGAGCGTAATTCCTTGCAACGCTTAACGAGACATTATTATTGATTGCACTGTATCTCGAAATCTGTCTAACCGATGTAATTTCAAGGGATCGACAAGGTATCTGTTTTTGCCAAGGGCTCGTCCTGACAAGAGTCTCTTCAGTCAGTGGCTATATTAGCGCAGCAAGACTTGTGTCTATTTCATCACATTCCCGTTTGCACATCCTTGTCTCTCCGTGAAGTAAGCCTGGCAGTTTCTGACAGAGCCAAACGAGCACGTGGCTCTCAAGGGGAAACGGTGGGCAGATCCTACCAAGGCTACGCCCGATAGGCCCCCACTAGGGTCCCCGACGTTTCACGCGCAAGGAGCCTCTGCCGTGGTCTCCCACTCTTCATCTCCTCCTCTCCGTTCTCTTCCGTTTTATCTCCCTTCCACCCTCTTTGTCCACCGCGTTCGCCCAGTCCCTCTTCCCTTTTCCTTCCCTTTTTTTTCATTCAGCTCTTCCCTCACCTCCGAGTTTAGTTGCCTCCTTTTCTCGCGCGCCTCGTCGCTCGCCCTCTCTTACGTCGGGAATGCGTGCGTGAATCGAAAGGTGGAGGTGCACACGCGTGCGTGTGGGAACGCATCGCGGAATGCGGGACAGCGTAGCTATGGAACCACCAGCGGGGCTTTTTCCCTTCGCCTCGAGTCCTGCAGGACTCCGCTAGACGGATCCCCGCGCCGGGAATTTCTCCCTTGTCTATATTATTTTCGCTGCATAAAGAATGCTTCTCTTGTCGAAAATTACGTTTGAATCGTACGCTCTCCTACGTGACTTTAAGCTCCAATTCTAAATTCAAGCAGTTTCCTTAACACTGGTTTTTTAACAAAAGCAGCAGAGAACAATATCCGGAATTTAATATAGTTTTTAAAACTATCAGATATATATGAATGCGAAATGGGTCGAGTCCCACGGCTGGCCGAACCTCCAAAATGTCAGTTGGGAAACATTACAATTATCAGTATTGATTGAAGCTATCGCGCGACACAACGTAAAATTGACTTTACAAATTCCCCATGAGAAATAATCATCGTCATCGCTGCTAACATCATCTCAAAGCCTCCGTAAATGTTGACAGAGTACAAGAAATGTTAAACGTTTGCACATCAATCCGCGTCAACAAATTTATTTACCTGCGCGCGATAACTCGAAAGGGAAAGAAGGCGACCGCTGTCGGACGTGTCGCTTTCGCACATACTAACGATAAGAATAAAAGCGACGAGACTGTGAGGAGAAGGGACAGAGGAAGAGGAAGAGAATGAGGAGGCGGAGGGGGAGGACGTGAGCACGGCGAGAGCACGCATTCCCACTCGTAATAATGAATTTACGCGACGGAGACGCGCCGTAAATCACCGGTAGCAGACACGACTGCCCCTTTTACCGAATAACGTGTAATTTGGCGGTCGCTTATGAGGCAGATTCCGCGGCGGAGTGGCTGGTAGCGAGAGACGGTAAATAAACTGGAGGCCAGAGCGGCCAGCGGCGAGATTGATCGAGCCGAAACGACGCGCGCGCACGCCTTACAACTAATTTCGCGCAATGACTTCAATTACGTTTTTACCGGCGCGCGGAGCCCATATATTTGCCGTGTCGTTGCCGTGTCGGGAGGAGAGAGAAAGAGAGACTCGAGTATTCGCGCACTGAGGTGGTTCATCATCAGCGAGGCGACGAGGCCGTCCGAGGTGATTACTCCGACGTATGTACCACTTTCCGCGACGATCTCGCTTTAGCCGTAACGAGCGCCGAAACTTGGGCACGCACGAGAGAAACCGGGATGTAGACCGACATTTCCCAATTCGATCTGACGGAGAAAAAAGAAGCGCGAAAGCCCGGATTTGCGTGTCGCCGCGCGACGCTGAAAAAGTAGATTGCAAAGAGGCGAGAATGGCAAAAAAGGGGGAGCTAAGTGACGCAACCAGATCGTTTCTTGTGCAACCTAACTGTCACTTCGTGAAACTTTGCGATTCGGCAGTATGTCTGAAAGTGCTTTCGGGGGAACTTTTTAGGGGCTCGGGGGGATTACGTGATAATCGCGTTCGTGATATTTGCCGGTGATTTACGCCGAAGTTGCGTCAAATGAGAGCGATGGCGAAACTCGCGTTGCACGCTCTCAAAATAGAAAAGAGGGAAAAGCGTCAGGAGGACACCTAACCCATATTATACAATAAAACATTATATAATTCTGTAATATTATATACCGTATCTAATATTGTGTGTATTATATAATAAAATATTATATAATTCTCTTATAAAATAATATATATTATGTAATTCGTATCGCTCGTCTCTCTCTGTTAAAACTATGTGCCTGTGTGCGACGCGTGATGTGCGGGGAGATCTCCATGTTCGCGCTTGAAAGGCGAGTATCGCACCGATCTAAAGACAGCCGATGTTAATCCGCTTCTCCTCCACGTTTCCGCCGTAACGAGGAAAGGAGCGGCATTATTTACCGCGGAGAAGGCGAGGCGGTTTATCGTTAGCCGGCGAAATCCGAGGCAATTACGCGCAGAATGCTCAGCATCGCCGGGAAGACGCGATTGCACGTTTCGCCCGAAGCTCGTAGCGCGCGCGCGACTGCATATTACCCGCCTCTCATTCTGCACTATTGTCATTGAGCGAGACGTGTTTCCTCCTTTTTCGCAACTTTCGCGTTTACAAATCACGTGCACAATTCACACTTGCCGCTCGCTCGTTGATTACCTCTAATAAACGCTCGTTAACGAGTCTATTCCGTCTCCTGTCTTTCTCTCGCTGAGGGCGAGAAACGTAAAAGCGCGCGCGTTCGTTGCGAAATCAACGTCTCGCGACGGAGAGAAAAAAACAGGAAATACACACAAAAATAAAAGACACTCAGAGTCCAGTCCGCAACCCTAATCGCCGCGAACAACACGCATGATGATCATGTTGTTGCC